CCCTGATTTTCTAATGGGTTTCATCCTACTGTAATTTTTTTTCATTTTTTACCATTTTTGAAGGCTTCGGCCCTGGTCTATAAAATGAATGTACTTATTTTTGTTGCCTACCAATATACAGTGAGGACAAAGGGATACATTAATTTTCTGCCTCATTAATAATTAATTTTTAAAGAAAATCCTCTAACGTAAATTTTTATTTTTGAATGCGACAGTATTTCAATTAATTGTATAGGTACCTACTTCTTCAAACCCCTTGAACTGACAACTACCGCCTTTTCATTTTAAATGAAATGAGTGATCATGTCATACCTCATTTTAAAGGGGTTATTACTCGTTCCAGTAATAGAAGTTTTTTAAAACATTGACATTTTTCTTTATGAAGAAGCATAACTGTAAATCCAGAAAATCTCCCCAAGATTAGCTGAACATGTTTTATAAGAATCTGAAAAATTATTTCATTTTATTTTTTTGATGTTAAAAATTAGAAAAATACAAACAAAAATCCTTATGTGACTGAATAAAGAATTAAAAACTTTTTAAAATGATGTATCAAATCCCTCATTTTATTTAAAAATTTGAATTGATTGCTGTCACTCCAAAGCGGTAGAAGCAAGAGGTACATAATTATGTTAAAATATTGTCATTTTAGAAATCAAAATTGACCTGTTTTAGCAATTTAAAGAAGTAGTTAGCTGGAAAGTTATAATCACAGAGGATGTAAGTACAGAGAACAAACTCGGTGTCGGCACGATTGATCTCGCTAAGTCATCGGCGGCCATGTTCAAATTATAGAAGTCAGGCCCGCATTTTGATAATAATGTTACCAAAGGGAAGATCCGTACTCAAGAAATTCATTTTGGTAAGGATGTGGTGTGTTTTGAATTTAATTTAATTTTTAATTTGAATTATAACTAAAATCAGGTACGAGTTGTTTTACAGGGTGTACTGAAAAGATATATCAGGATTTCAAAAATAATTTCTGGAAATAAAGTCGCGTGTATAGTAAAATCCATTCTTGAGATAGTTTAAAATTATATGAACAAATTTATAAAACTATGAGTAGTATAAAAATATTTGGCCTAGATCCAGTTATTCAGGACAAAAATGACCTGAACTTAGATTTAAATCGGTCATAAATATAGTCTGGTGTAGATTTTTAATAAATGATATTTTATATACTAAGCTGTCCATGTAAGTATACAAATATTTGGAATACATAAAGAAACACACAATGAAATATAATAGTATATTACGTAACAAGAGTTGTAAGTAACCCATTCCCAGATAGCACAAAGTTGTCTTAAAGACGTCTTTAAGACGTCTAGCATAAGACATTCGAGACGTCTTTAAGACGTCTGGTATTTCCTGAAAGACGTCTTTAAGACGTCTTAGAAGACGTCTGATGTTACAAAAAGCGACGTCTTTAAGACGTCTTATTAATGGCTTATATTGGTCTGTGAGCTTAAAATAAGCCATAAATAAGACGTCTTTAAGACGACTTATTAATAGCTTATAATGGTCTTGTAAAGCCTTAAATAAGCCATAAATAAGATGTCTTTAAGACGTCTTATTAATGGTTTATAATGGTCTTGTGAAGCTTTAAATAAGCCATAAATAAGACGTCTTTAAGACGACTTAATAGCTTATAATGGTCTTGTGACGCCATAAATAAGACGTCGTTAAGATGTCTTATGAACGTAGGATGTCGGATGTTATTAAAAAGTAGAACAATATCTTGCAGATTATAAATAATGCAAAAAATAGAATTAAAATATTTATTGATAAAACGTCTATTAATCACAGGTCACTAAGAGTTATTTTCTTTGTAGCGCATTCGATCACTCCTCTTTAGTCATAACTGGATTGATTTTTCTCTTTGATTTGTAGTTGCCTTTGTATAGCTCCTAAAAAGAAATTTAGTTAAGAGCATCTAGTCACAGAAAATTATACTTAGCAAAAGTTAGTAAAAACCGACAGAACAGTTATCTATAAAATAAAACAAAAAATTAATTTCTTAGAATTTTAAATCAAAGAATTTTTATAATCATTTAATGCAATATGAGCTATTATGCTTAATCGCCTACTTTAACAATTTTACTCTAACTTCACTGAAAATGGCTATCTAATAGGGAGTTTTTGATATTATTAGTTCTCAAAATCTCTATAAAAACAAAACAAAAATGATACTTGACGAATATCTGAATTAAATCTTATATTAAGATGTTTACTTTTAAATTAATTTAATTATTCTTAGAAGAAACAGAATATTGTTTTATGTATATAAACAAATATTCATTTATTACCTGTATTCTAGGAACGTGCTACATCGGTAACACAAACTATTCTTCCCTCTCTGGTTTTTGTCCCATATTATTTAAGTAGAAAGAGGCAAATGCTCAAAATAGCCCAAAGTCGCTTTTGGTGGCTATAATCGTGTACGCAATAAAATAATCAATAATCCACAATGAGCTTGGGCCATACAAATTTTTGGCTTGGGCTTGAATGTATTTCTTCTTTTCTTCGTTTTCACTTTTCCACTGCACTTGATATTTGATTTCAATTGTCTTCTCCAAATATTACACTGAATATTTTGTTTAATTTTGTATACTTTTTAAATTCGGATGGTCACTTTTATACTAGATATTTTGTGATTTTTATGGGATTTCTTGGCTCCCGATTCGGAGAACGCCATTTCAATATTGCCACGATGTTGTCCGAATCGGAAGTCCGGCTTGAATATAATGTTAAATCAAACGTCAAACTTCACTTCATTTGATTCTTCTTGTTACATTTGAATTATGTAAACCGTGCAAGTTTCCGTCCGACTGAAAGACGTTTGTAAGACGTCTTAAAGACGTCTTAAAGACGTCTTTGAGCTTTCACATTAATATATGGATTTGGCAAGACGTCTTAAGAACGTCTTTGAGCTCTCACATTAATACGTCTGAATTATGGCTTTTGCAAGACGTCTTATAAAACGTCTTAATAACGTCCTAGGACATTGAGACCAAACCAAGACACAAAAAAGACGTCTTTCAGACGTCGTGTGCTATCTGGGTTACGCAGCGGTGAGTGCGTAAATTTTACAAGTGCGTAATGGGCTTACAACTCGTGTAGCGTACTATACTTTATCTACGCCCACTTATTTTCTTCTTAAATAAAGGACATACCTATGCTTGTGTCGCTAATCCATAAATTTTCGATGGGTAATTTCGTATCTTTTTTGGATTTTAGCGGTAGCAAATTATGTATGGCAGCTTGAGCTCTGATGGAGTGCTCATAATCTCATCACTTTCACTACTAACAGATATATTCATAGGTAGAGTTAAGAAAATGTTTAAATACAATATTTAGTATAATGTATAATGTGTTGCCGACATTTAGGGGCATAATTATTTTAATCCAAAATGTATATCGCTATTGCTAAAAGTTTTTATGTTTTTAAATTGACTAAATTTATGTAAATGAACCAAATAAAGTCTTACGTAGATAAAAATTTGATTGCAATTTAATTAAACTAAGAAATTTAAGTTTTTTTTATCAAAAAGCACGTGTATATTATGAGATCTCATTACGTGCATGTTATTGTTAAATGTCATTTACAAGAATATTGACAGTACGATTTTTAACGTTTACTGATATGGGCGTGGAAAATTTTTTTTATTGGTTTTTCCATATTAACACTTTAGCGTTATTATCCACGTCTTTCAAATTTCTATTAATATTTTTTATAGAAAAATATATTCTAACCCTAAAATATAATTTGGAAAAATTAGGAAAAGTTGATTTAGAATTAAAATCAATTGAATCTACTTATAACTTTCTAAATTACCTTGGCCTTTTTGGAATAAATTATTTACAAGCAGTTAAAATAAATCTTTTGTTTATACCTGTTTATACCTACTCTAATATCGAATACTTAATTTTGATAATTAGTCTCCAAATAAAGGATAATTTTAAATTCAGTAATGATTTTTCCAAGAAAATAATAATATGGACAAAACCCATTTAGTAATAAATAGCAACAGTAGGTATAAACTTTCTATGGGCAAAATAAAATAATAATATTTTGAGAATAAAGCTAGATTTGTGTACATTTTTATATAATTCTAGTAGGTATTTTAGGAATAAATAGGTCAATTGACCAACTGTAGAACACTAGAATAAAATAAAAAATGACAGGTACATAAATCCACCATACACAATAATAAGTTGATAAGTACATTTTATTCATCTCTTAAAAAATTAATTACTCATTAAGCGTTTACAAATAAGTATTTAATATATTTTCCCCATATATAAGTTAGAGTCATTTTATTATCCTTATTTCAGTGGATAAGAGCTATTGCTTCTATAAAAAGATCGAACTCCTGAAAATTGTAAATTTTGAAACCATTTGCACAATTTTCAATATATGAGCATGAATATTTTTTTGTAGAAATATTGTATATTTTACCATGTTTCTGCACTATAGTCCCCAAAAAAGTTTGCAGAAGAAGAAAAAAAAAATGACAGTAACTGTAAAAATTTATTTTTATTTTAAATATTCCAATCTTTTACCCGATTTTAAGGGTGTTATAGAGAAATATGTTCTTTACAATTTTTATAGAAAATATTTTAGATTTTTTAAACAGAAAGCTTTAAATGAAAAATTACAAATGAACGTATTATGCCTTAAAAAATAATTTTTTTTATACAAATTATAGAGCTAACAATTGGCTACAAATTGAAAAAAAATAAAAATCGGATATATTATGGCAAAATTGTATTATTTAAAATAAAAATTATTTTTACGGTTACTTTCAATGTTTTCCTTCATTCTGCTATTTTTTCATGATTGATTTTGTAGTGAAGAAACATAGTAAAATGCACTATATTTTTACAAAAAAATAAACGTGGACCTACATTAAAAATTCTACAGATAGTATAAAAATTTATAATATCCGATCATTTTACATTTTAACCGAAGCAATCTTAAGACTTTTTTCTCAACTTACCTTCTTTCGTCCTTAGGAAAACCGAAAAAGCTCAACTTGCAGTTGTACGTCTTGTTTGGACAATTTCTTGCTGCACAAACCAATCCACCTTTAATATTGCTCATTGTTTATCGAGTTACAACAAATAAACTTACAATATAATAATAACAAACTCTACAAGTACACAAGTCAAGAGAACACACGCTGCCACTGCCAGTTCGCACATAAAAATGAATAGTGTTAAGCTCTACTACATGTAACGCAGCTGAGTTATAATTAGAACATGGCCGCACCAAGTTTACCCTCTGTACTTACATCCTCTGTGGTTATAATTTACTTACTCTATTAAATGTACAATGTTCATGCCTAAAATTTCGTATACAAATCAGGTACCAGCACACATTTTTAAAAGTAAATACTGAAGAAAATACAAGGAATAAGTAACCTTTTAAGTCATTTTAAAAAAGAAAGTTCCTATAACTTACCTGTTTTAGACATGTTTATTGACTTTCACAAAAAAAATGTTCAATAATTAAAAAAAATATTAAATCAATCCAAAATACACTAATACAATACACAATGTTACAGGTTCAGAAGCAAAGAGGAAAATAAGCTTTAGTACTTTTTGGCTTCTATAAATACAAAATGATAATCCTTTACGGCACACCGACAAAGGGCCGTTATACCATTGAGTAAACGAATATAATATATTCTTTTACTCAATGGTTATACCTACTCTGATATTAACGAAATAAAAAACTTTCTTGTGACACGTGCCGGTGTAGGATATATACCGGGTGTCCTATAGGATTCTGGCCAGATATTGTCTAAATGATTTAATAGCATCAAATCAACCTTTGCCAAACCACCCCCTAGAAACCATCCCTAGCCGAGCGGCTAGCGTGAGATTAGTGTACAACCGCGTTCTCGCAACAGTTAAGCCGTGATATCTCCAGTCACGTCGTGGATGATTGTCGGCTGGGACGATTACCATAGGCCATGCCACCATGTGATTTAGTCAACATCGACGATGTGAAATTAATAACGGTGAATGAGTAAGTAATTGATAAAGGAGTGGGACGTTCAAATGGTGGTACAATAAACTGCAAGCTGCAGTGACACCACGCTACAAATGGATTAGGGTAATACTACGGAGAGTCCAATGGGTGTAAAATAAAATAAAACCATTCCTAGCATTCATTTTTCAATTTCAAGCTCATGTTTTCTTGTTATTATGATCAAATTTATCCCCCTCACTTCAGTCATATATCATATTGCTTTTTTTAGGTTGTATTTATATGGTCAAAATGGTAAAAAAAGGCTGATTTAACAATGGAAATATTTTACTATGTAATACAAATTTAATTTCTCATTTTTGTAGGCGGTAGTTTAAATCAACCGCTTGTTAAACCACGCACACGTTAGAAACAGGTTAAATGAGTCTGTTATTTACAATTTTGACCAATACGTTGTATAATATCGTTGACATGAAGCGAAAAATGTCAAATCACATTAAAAAAAAGTGTGGTGGCGTGGTTTGAAACATAAATGATAATGGTGGTTTCTAGCGAGTAGTTTTATAAGAGGTTGATTTGGATTCATCAGGTAAAACACTTTTATCCCTTTTAACAGTTATCCAGAAACATATGGGACACCTGGTATATACATTAATGTATTTTAGTATACTATTGTTTAAATTTAGTATTCTGTATGATTTGCGTTGTTCCTTTAGCGGTTTGTTTCATGACATGCCGAAAACAAAAAACATATGTTTTGTTGAAGAAAATTGTATCCTCGGTTTCAAAGCGGTAATGCCCATGGGCGTCGTTACACAATTCTATAGGGGGGGGGCAAAATTTTGAAAAAATTTTAGAATGTTTATTTGTTGGAAAACAAAGGAAACGAAAAATAAAAGATTTTTTTTTTATGATGGATTTAATTTTTCTGTGACGTCATGGCTTACTTACAGCTTTTCCAGAAATAACAGAAAATCGCAATTTATTTTTTATTTTTAAATGAAAACCATTTTTTTATTGAAAATTTGAATTTTTGGGCATTTTTGGGGCGTGTATTGAAAATTTTCTGTTACATATTAAAATCATGTATTTTCCAATATGATGGTCATTTTGACAGCTGACAGAAAATTTTCAACACATGATTCTTTTCCATAAATGTTCCCGAAATTCAAATTTTCAATAAAAAAGGGGGTTTCTATTTAAAAATTAAAAATAAATTGATATTTTCTGTTATTTCCGAAAAACCAGAAGTAAGCCATGACGTCACACACCAATTGAATCCAGTATATGACAGTATTTGTTCTAAGCTTTTAACCAAAAAAGTTTTCATTCCAATATCTCAATTAACAACGAAGATAAAAGCGAATGGAATTATTAAACGGTTTGCTAATAATAAAAATGCTTAGATACGCCACTGGTATACGGTAAATGGGTCTCAATGGAAATGTTGAAGCTTACAAAGATTTTATAAAGATCGTACATTACTATATTTTTTTCCATAAACGAATTAATAATGACATTTAGAAAAAATATTATCCAATATGGCGGCCATTTTGACAGCTGACAGAAAATTTTCAATACATTATTAATATTATACAAAAATTATTAAATTTACAATATAAGAGAGGGTTTCCATTTAACAATAAAAAAATTTATATTTTCGTTATTTCCGGAAAAACCGGAAGTAAGCCAGGACGTCACAGAATAATTGAATCAATCATAAGAAACTGTTTGTTCCAGTCTTTCAAACAGAACTGTGGAGATAAGGGGAGTGGAACTTTAGTAGTAACCCTAACAATGTCACTGACCCATTTGACAGAACTGATACTTAAGTTATCATAACAAGTCTCTAATAAATAAAATAACCAAACAAAAAAGACAAAAACTAAAATTAAAAAAAAAAACAAGAAACTTGAAGCACATTTTTAAAAAACAAACAGAAGGTGTGATATAAAAGAAAAATATGAACATAATATTAAAAATAAAAATTTATAAAAAACAAAAACATAAAAAACTCGGTTGCTCATTTTATTGTTTTTGCCTATTTTTTTAATAAAAAGTAAAATGTATACGTGTATTTAATACGCCAAAATTACAAAATATTTCCCTAAAATACTCGAATTATCCGCAGCTTGCGCTTCCCCTACCATGACTTCTCACTGATCGAATAGACCGCAGCCATTTTTTAACATGCCTTAGCATTCCAAACGTTCTTTCGATTAAATCTGTTGTTTTTTGGAAGAGCCATAAATATTTTTTAAACCATTTCGTATGTCTGAATAAAATTCGCAATCTTTGGACGCTATATCATCAATGGAGAGCTCATTGTGTGCAGAAAGCTCTTTCGTATTCCAGTTTGGTATTCAGCTTCAAAATTGTCGATTCCAAATTTTTCCACCACTTTCATTTTGTTATCGGTAGTGGAAAAAGTATTTTTTATGTTTTTGGGATGTAACATGCTTAAGGAAAAACTAACAAAGTCTTCGGAAAAGCGGAACCCAGATATGCAATAAATATATTCAACCTATAATATTCTTCAACTATATTAGCCTGAATATTATTTCTATGAGATTGTTGTTCGTAATGCATATCTTATGCGTTGTTGATTAAGCCGTAAAAGCCAGGGGGGGCAACTGCCCCCCCTTGCCCCCCCCAAACGACGCCCATGGTAATGCCATATAGGTATACCGCCGAAAACAAAAAAACTTTAAAACGGCCGCCAAAATTGGTTTGAACTATCCCGCAATCGCCGCCAAGTGTGGCTCGAATTTAGTTAGTCATATAAGAATTTTGTTAAAAAGAGATAAATAGATAAAATGATCTAGGCACATAAGTTGTATTAAACAACAAGGCAAATATAAAGGATAACCGCAAATGCAGAAAAGGTAGGCCACTGTTTGAAGTACTCGAAAAAAATTGGTGTGCAAAACGAATTGTTAGCGGAAGTCAACTAACTAAAAACAACAAATCGACCTCTTTGATTTACCACCCATAGACGGAAATGTATTGTTTTACTTAAAATGTTATTCGTATATTATTCATCATTGAGTCAAAAAAATATTTGATTTCAATTCTTTTTTACGCATTAAATAATGATTTTTTATTTCACTTATTAATTAATATAATTAATCTTAGAAATTGAAATGTTTGTTGAATATGTTTTTTTTTACAATGACCCTATCCGACATTTATTCTTAGTAAGTATTTAATAAAAATTTTCTTCTAATTATCAAGACGCCACTGGCTCTTCCTAATTTCTTCTGCTTCTACATGTTGTAAGCGACCAGCTCGTCTATACCGGTTAATCTTAGCAAAGTAGAGAAAGATAATGAATAATTGGAATACTGTATATTTCGTACAGAGTTAGATCATGTTATTTTTAAATATTATTTTCGTGGTATACTAATAATGTCAACAAGCATCGTATAATCAATACGCCCAGTAGTCACTCCTTTTTAAAAATATATTGAGATATAAATTTTATAGTAATTTTTTTTGGAGCACCTTTAAAATATCCTATTAATATTATCATGTAAAACCTAATGCTTGTCGTAATTAAAAAATACACCAGTCCTTTACATTGGCCTGACATATAGTGCTAGAGTTAGGCCTCAATCCCCTTCCATTTTTAAATTCCGTTATTTTTAAAACAAAGATGCATTTTAATAAAATATTTTTGTGCCAATACTATTTCTATTCCTACGAAAAAAATAAGATATCGGGATTTATAATATGTATCACTGCAATATATCCGTCGTGTCCAAAAAATGCGTTCATCTGCGAGGCAGTAGCAGAAGCTTCCATACAAATTAGGGAAAATAGTTTTGAGAACGTTTTTAGTTTATCGCTGTTATGACGGGTTCGAATATAAGATATGTAACGGTCCCCGATCGCCGAGGAGGTCGTATTAAACTGCCGCCTTAAAGTTTTGGGCTAACTTATGCACTAGAAAATTTTAACGAAGAAAACAAAAATCAAATGAAATAGTTATGCAGTTTGATGATTAAATACAGCTATGCAAAAACAAAAAAATACAATTGATATAAAATATAAAAATATTTAAATAATACTGTGGAAACTCTAAGAAATTGTGATTTTTAAAGATGTAT